CAGCGATTTGTTATTTTTGTTAGAAATAGAGGCAGGAATGCGTCCTACAAGTTTGAAGAAAGCAGAGTAATGTACGTATTGTAATATATCCTTTACCGATTGATCGACGACGGAAGCATCGGTACTGGCTGCGTTGGGAATTCCGGTGATTATGGCTCTTTTAGCTTTTGACTGTTGAAGCTTGGCGTTTATGTTCAGGGCATTTAAGATGGCATTGTTTGTGGCTGATCTGGGTTTGGTAAGTTGCGAAGCAAAAGATTTTAGGATTGGTTGAGAAACGGAAGGATAAACTGCCGGTGGTTGGCAGTTAGTAAGTTGAATTTGCAAGTTGGTGTTGGTTTTTTCGAGAGCTGCTACTTTTTCAAGCAGTAATTTGACTGTTTTAGCTAGAGAGCGGATCATGGCGTCACATCTTTTAGGTAAATAGCCTTGCCTTTTCCAGGACCCGGCCAATTTTCAAGCAGGTCTATTGGGTTTAAAGGAGGTGAAATTGACGACATTTCATACAATTCGTTGGCGGGCATTTTGGAATGTTGAGGATTTAATTAGATGACTGAATATTGGATTTGAGGTTTATGCTTCGGATAAGTGTTGTGGTTGGATAACAAATTTGGTTATTAAGTTGGTAGATAGTTGAAAGGATATTTTATATATAATTTTTGTATATATATAAATAATACTTATATGTATTTATATAACAGTTTTTCCGTATATATAGTTATATATATTATTAATGTTTGTCACAATCACACACACACAAATTATTTTTATGTTCAAAAATTAATTCGAAAACAACAAACAGATTAAGAATCAGGTGCAACGCAACTATAAAAAAAAAAACTACGAAGAAAGTTGAAAAACTTTTAAAATAAAATAAAAATGAAATAATTAAAATAGGTTTTCAAGAAACAAGTTAAAAACTTGTTACTTTAATAATATAAGCGCAAATCTTCGATTAATAAAGTTTATTGATAATATAGTCATATATTTATATATAAATATAGATACGAGAAATAAAAATAAAATAAAAATAAAAACACTATATATTTAGTTACTATATAGTTAGTTCGAAGCGATTGACTTTAGTCGATATAATATATTATAATATAGTATAAGGTAATGAATATTAATGTGTATTTAGAAGAAGAAAAATAGTAAAAAGGAAAGAAAATGTTAAGAGAAAAAAACAAAATAAGAAAAAAAATAGCTCAAAAACTTATGACAAAATAAAAAGCGTCTTATCTATTCAAAGCCTCTTTTGAGAAAAAAAAAACAAACAAAAAACATTTCAACAAAAATGACTTACTATATAACAAACAATTCGGCTTTAAAAAAGGTAACTCAACGGAGCATGCAATAATCCAGTTTGTGCATGAAATCTCGAAATCTTTTGAAAAATCACAATACCTGTTAGGTATCTTCATTGACCTATCAAAAGCTTTCGACACTGTAGATCACTATATTTTACTGCAAAAACTTAAATATTATGGAATTAAAGGTACTGCTTTAAAATGGTTTAGAAGCTATTTAAAAAAAAGAACACAATTTGTAATTAGTAACGATGGTTATCAAAACAATTATCTTGATATCGTATGCGGTATTCCTCAAGGCTCAATCCTCGGACCCCTACTTTTCCTGATATATATAAATGATTTGAATAAAGCTTCCAACCTTATAAAAACACAGATAATACCAACCTATTTCTCTCAAGCAGTAATATATATGAACTCTTTACCACTATGAATAAAGAACTAAAACATATATCAAATTGGTTTAAATGTAGTAAGCTAACTTTAAATATTAATAAAACCAAATGGACTTTATTCCATTCGTATGCAAAAAAGCGATTATTACCAATAAACTTGCCACAACTTTATATAGACGAAATTGAAATAAAAAATGATTCCGTTACAAAATTCTTAGGCCTTTATCTCGATGAAAACATCTCCTGGAATTAACATATTAATTATGTTGATACTAAAATTTCAAAAAACATTGTGATTATATATAATGCTCGTAACTACCTTAATAAAAATTGCTTAAGCCAACTTTATTACTCTTTTATCCACAGTTGCATAAATTATGCTAACACTGCTTGGGGGAGTACTGTTAAAAGTAAATTAAAACTTCTTTATCGTCGTCAAAAACATGAGATCCGCATAATTAACTATGCTGATCGTTTTGCACATACAAAACCAATTTTTACTGAAATGAGATTACTAAATCTATTTGAGCTCAATGTATTTAAAGTTTTATGTTTTGTATATTTATGGAGAAATAATTTATCCCTTACCGCTTTTAATAATATTTTCAAACTCAAACCTAACAATAAATACGATATGAGAAACATAAATTTTTTAAATGAGCCGTTTCGTCACACAAAGTTTAATCAGTTTTGCATTGCTTATCGTGGACCCCACCTATGGAATAATATTGTTCTGCGAAATCTCGATCAACCAACTTCCTTTTATCTTTTCAAGCTCTAGCTTAAAAAATTTATTTTTTCACTTGATAATATACTTAGATACTTCTGATATTTTGAAAATTGTTATTTGACTTGGGTTTTATTACTTTTTATTTTTTAATTTTACTTTATTTTATGTATGTTATACTTGTCTTTATTTTGCTTGCTTGTATTTTATAAGGTTCTGACGACAAGATCTTGTGATCTTCTTTCAGATCCTAGCTTATGTTAATTTATATATATGTACATCTATTCATCTGTAAGTGTATATATGCTTATATTTATATGTGAGTGTTTTTCTTATTTCAATTATACTGGTAATGGAATTTTTTTAATTGTAACACCATATATATACGGCATATAATTGTACTGTGACATTTTAATGTAAGCGAAATTTAAAAAAAAAAGTATAACCCACATGGGACTCATTTTGGGCCCATATGTAAAGCCCACATAGGGCCCACTTGGGCAAACCCATATGGGTCCCAATAGGACATGTTCGATGGGTTTCTGAAAGACAATTCAAGTATGGCGAAATCATTAAATTCGTTTTAGTTTTAAACAAAAAAGTACGTTTTAACTCAAAAAAGTTTTTTTTTTGGATCCCAATAATTCACCAATGAATCTATATCTCCCACTATACAGGTATTTCATCTCTAAATAAACATTTACGCAACAACCGCATATAATGACTGCATTAATGTTTGTTGCAATAGAACGAAGAACCCACAACGGTAAAACTGTCGCATTTCTATTTTTCATTGTTATGAAACACAAAGTCGTTGTCTTCTATTCTTGGTCTCATGCTCCCATTTTTTCTACTAGAAAAAAAAAAGTTGCTTGAACGAGGTAACAAGTTTGCATTATTAAACTGATTGGTTGAATAATATTTGCTTAGTAAGCTGATTGGTTGGATAATATTGGATCAGTATAGATTTTTAAACTTAAAGTAACAAATAAAGTAAAGCTTTTACATTTTATAGCTTTTAGTTTTTAAGTACTGTAGCACTCGCAGTATTTACTCTCCACATTTGATATTGAGATTTGTTTTTTTTTTACAGAAATTTAATAGCTCTTCATAGTTTGATAAAATATATCGGACAAAAATCTTTAATAAAAGTCTGGTAATATAGTTGGTTTATAAAAGTTTAATTTTTCTGATATAATCCATGGATATAAGTTACATTACTCATTTTCTGAGAATGTTTTACATTCTATCAATTTTCCTACGGACATTTGTTTTTTAAAGTTACGTTCTAAATGTCTTTTAAACGTTTTTTAAACGTCAATTAAACGTTTTTTGCGTATGAATGTTTAGAAGACGCTTAAAAGACATTCAAAATAATTTAGAACGTAAATTTTAAAAGCTGGATTGGCTATAGTGAGACACGCATTACATTGTACCGGTTAGTACACCCGGGTTGAATGATTGAGTAATGAGTAACCGTTGTTTATACTTAAAACAGAATCAGTATAACGGCTTTCCCTAGCAAGTCGTTTTACCGATTCTAAAATCATTGAAATAGTAACAACAATGTCGTCTCGTTATAAATATCCTTCATTGTCATTTTAATGTCATGATATTTTTATTATATTTTCATAATAAACATTTATGGATACACTATAGTTTATCAATAAATGTTTATCTACATAAGAAATATCCAAACAGCAAAGCCAGACAAATGTAATCCCGCAAAAAATTTTAGAACTACCATTGCTAAAATTACAAAACTTTATTACAGCGCACTAAAATGAATTGACATGTTACTTTTTGGAATCACCGCTGAATGTCAACGGAAATATGTTAGAGTTTAATGAGATAACGCCAAACGTTACTCCAAGCTTTCTGAAATATAGCGCAAGTACATCTGCATACCTGCGACAAAAAGTGAAAAAAATTTTCAATTGCTTCAAACATTCTTTTCCTTTTATTTTTGCAACAATAGTTCTTCCCTCGACTTAAAACTGTATCGGTTTAATCTTTAGATATAAATGCAAGCTCGATGGAACCACTTTAAAAATGTCACGTTTTTGCGTCACATCACGTTTTTGCGTCTTTTTTGTTTTTTCAAAAATAGTTATCCTCAAAATCTGCATAAATTTTTTTAATTAAAAAAGATTCATCTTATTTTTATTTTAAATAGATATATTAACACGGTGTTTATGAAAAAAAATGTGTTTTAATTTATTTTGTTTATTTGTAAATGTCTTAAAATTGTTGGTATTTTTTAGACGTTATTCAAATTTTAGTCTCTTCCTTGTTTCAAATGATACAAGAAGATCGTTTCATATTATAATTTTTGTATTTACTAAGCGATAGTACTTGTTTGAGAAAAAATAAATTAAGTAAAAAACCCTTTGTTTGACGAGTACCTGCACCGTCATTTATACGATTTTCATTAGCCTTATTTAGAGAAACTAAAAATTATGATTTAAGTCCTCAATAGAAAACAAAACATTTATGACGTCATATATTTGACGTCACTTTGTATTTACTTTTTAATCAAAAATTTTCGTCTTAAATATTTTAATGAAGCCTATTTTTCTATTTGAAATATGGCTCACTCTGATAATATCAATTTCAACTCATCAAAAATAGACAATTCCCAGTTAGAAGACAATACTTCAATTGATCAATCGAACAGTAGCTCAGCAACAGTTACAACAACAGTCAAATGCAGTTCAAAAGTAAATGATTTTGTAATGTTACTAAAACATGGCTATGTGCTTTTTAACAAAAAGTTAGGCGAAGGAACGTATTCAAAGGTCAAACACGCATATTCTAAAAAGCAAAACCGAGACATTGCTATTAAAATTATCAACAGAAAAATTGCCCCGAAAGAGTTTTTAAAACGCTTTTTACCTCGGGAGTTGGAAATCATTGGCAACATTGAACATCCGAATATTTGCAAATGTTTTGAAGTGCTTGATGCTGGTTGCAAAGTATATTTGTGTCTGGAATTTGCGCAAGGAGGAGATTTGTTGGAATACATTAAAAAGCATAAGATAATGTCAGAAAGCGTAGCTAAAGTTTTTTTTTCTCAGGTCATATTATGATTATTTTTATATATTAGTATTATTTATTTTTTTAGTCAATAATTAATAATTATTTAAAACATATTTTTCAAATATTTTTTTTGTGTGTTAGGTGCTTGATGCTATACTTTATCTCCACAGTAAAAACATTTTGCATCGCGATTTAAAATGTGAAAATATACTTATTGGAGATAAACTAAAACCCCTTCTAGCAGACTTTGGATTTGCAAAGTACGTTAAAAACAATGATCTAAGTAGGACGTTTTGTGGAAGCTCTGCATACGCCTCAATTGAAATTCTTAAAGGTATTTTCCATTTGAAGCTTGAGCCAAGTCTCATATATACTTGTAAGGCAACTCTATTTCTTTACCAAAATTAAAAAAAAAAACCATCAGTATGTAGTTGTACCTTGTCATAGAATTGTTATCAACTTTAAAGTAATCTATGTGTTTATATAAAATAGATAAATAACCATATAACTACACAAAAAACGCATAAAATTATATATTTTTTTTATAATTTTACATTTGTTGGTCGTATTACAACTATATATTGCCAAAAAAAAAAATAAAAAAATAATAATGATAATAATAATAAACTTTCACAAATATAAAATAAGGTATCTGAAAGAAGATCAAAGGATATTGTTGTCAGAACCTTAAATAAGCTCAAACAAGCATTAACAGTATCAAATTTTTACAAATTTCATATATATATATAATCCAAATATATATTATATAATCCAAAGAGAGATCACGCGGATCTACTCACCAATATTTTATATAAACGTATACGTTAAGTAAAGAATATAAAATCAACAAAATAAGTAAGAATAAACTTTTTACAAATGTAAATAAGAAAAGGCAAAGTTATTAATTCATATTATTAATAATAACATAACACGTCTAATGAAAAAATTAGGGTTTTTAATTTACTTTTAAAAAAACGATTGTGTTTGTGTATTTGTGTAATTATTTGATTTAAATGCAGAAAAATAATTGGATAACATAATTATGTATGAATAACTATAAAAATAAATTAAACATATTATAGCTAATACTTTTTTAGAGCCTTATGTTTGAAACAAAATAACTTGTTTACGGCTATGGAGTATCTGTAATTATTTAACTGCCTTTTAATTTACTAATTTATATTAATCCACTCTTAGGAATTGCATATGATGGGAAATGTGCTGAAGTGTGGAGCTTAGGATGTATTCTTTACATTATAACAACAGGTAACATGCCTTTTAATGATTTTGATAAAGTTAAACAAATCAAACAAATGGAACGTGGTCCAGCGTACCGTAACTTGCAACAACCTATATCAAATACACTTCGTCAGTTAATATCACGTATGTTAGACATTGATCCGAAAACTCGAGTTACCTTAAAAGAAATTGGAAAACTAAGTTGGATGAAAGAATAATTTAAAAAATATTTTTATTTATTTGTGTAATTAATGTGTTATTACTTATATTGTTAGTGCGTTAAATATTAAATTGTAAAAAAAAATCAATCAATTGTAAAATTTAACACATTTATATCTTTGAGATTGTTTAACGCTTTTTCACTCGTAAACAATAATTTTGCAAAACTGAACCAATTTTTTTTCGGGTAGGTACAATCGGCAGAGCAGAGCAGATTGGCAGAGAAGATCATTGTAATGTTGATAGCGGCAGAGCAGATTATCCAAACAGCCATTTTCTAATGTGTGATCTGCCAAATATTATTTGGCAAATCACACATTATTCAAATATTATTTGGCAGATCACGCATTATTAAAATATAATTTTGCAGATCACAAAGTAGAAAACGGCTGATTGTCTGTCTGTGATAATCTGCTCTATCGTTATTATTATCACAATGATCTGCTTTGCCAATCTGCTCTGCCGGTTGCATTATGATCTGCCGAAATATTTGGCAGATCACACATTAGAATACGGCAGATCACTCTTTTTTAGGAAAAGTATTGCGACAATAAAAAACGTTTATGTTTAAAAAATCAACTCATAGTTTATTCTATTCGAAGTCAAATATCGTTTTTCATAAAAATATTTGGCAATCACATTATAAAAATTCTATTATATGATCTGCCGAATTATTTGGCAAATCACACATTAGGAAACGGCTGATTGAATAATCTGCTCTGCCGTTATTAATATTTCAATGATCTGCTCTGCCAATCTGCTCTGCTCTGCCGATTGTACCTACCCTTTTTTTTCTTTAACCGAATTAAATTTTGAACGCAAACAACACCAAATTTTTGTGTTAGCTAGCAAAGCCGTTTCTATGAAGCCACTTATAAAGTAGAAGTATAACCGTATAGTAAAATCAAATTTTTTTTTTTCAAGTTGTTTAAGGTGCCCCAAGAAGTCCTTACGGTCTTATCACAGAGCACCGCGGAAGAGCATTTAATAGGAAGTTCACGCCTCCTTCCTAACCGATGTCGTCAAACTTGCCCAGAGGTGGGGTTTGAACCACGGATCTTACGTTTCTAAGACAAGTGCGCTACCACTGCACCACGGCTGCTCGGAATTTAAAACACTATATTAGTAAATTCTAATAGTTAATTTAAAAAACCGTATAGTATAAATACTTTTAACATACATAACCTTGGAACTAATAAGATTTTCCTTTTTTCCTATAATGAGACAGTTGCAAAAAAAGGTTCTAATGATGTAGCATCAATTTCGCTGCACTACTTCACTATTGCCTTCAGAAGTCAATAAACTCAACTTTAACTCTTCTATGATTCATCTCATGGACAGAATAAAAATTGGACTATATTGCGGTTTTTGAACGACATGGTCTACCAGAAAAACAAATTTGAAAAATATTAAACTAGCTTTTCCAATCAGAGGACATTCCTATATGGAGTGTGATATGACTCTGATAAATCAAAAGCTTCATATAGACTTATCATTATATATGAAGACATTTTGAGAATGCCAGAAAAAACCCTTCTCCTTTTCACGTAATTTAAGAAGAAAACATCATGTTGCTAAATATAGAAAAACACATTAAACCTTTCTTTGTTACAACTTCCTTAATTAAAACCCAGACACTTCGAGAAGTTATTATCTCTAAAAACCATGCATATAAAATTCTTTTTAGAGAGAACTAGAACGAGCAATTCTCTGAGGGGAATTGATCAGTTAAAAAGAGAAAAATGTCATTGGAGCTCCTTCAGCCTTTAAATAGAGTGCATGTACCTCTTTCCTCATCAAAGTATGAAGACCCATTATTTCAAATGTTTTTGCAAGCAAGACGCATAAGAACTTTACAACTATTTTCCATATCAAAGAGGGATCAATCACCACATTTAAAATACAATATTTTGGGATAAAATGGCTGCTGGGATAAATAAGTTGTGGTTTGTGAAAAGAAACTACAGGTTAAATTGCTATATATATATAGTTTGGAAATTTATTATTAACAGAATATAATACTAACATTTTAACAGAATCGATATTTTTTTGAGAATTAATAGTCTTTTCAGATAATTTTTACAAAAAATGTTCTTTTTTGTTAGTACAATTATAAAACTTTGAAAAAATTTAAAAACTTAAATAAAAGTTCAGAACTTCGAATTTTAATTGAATGTGTCAAATATTATTCAAGTAAACATTTTCACATATACATCATTCGATTAAATCCTATTTAACAAAGGAGAACTATTTCCATATTCCTTTGTGCGTCTATATTACCTAAATAGCATTATTTGTGTACCAATTATTTATAATACCCAAAAAAATTATACAATAATTGATGTGCCATAAGAATTATTTGTATAACAATTATTATAAAAAGAAAAAAGCTAAAACCAGATTATGCCGGGTTTTAACAAACAATCGATTAAATTTTTTAATGAAGTTTTATATTAGGTCAACATCATAACCGAAGTTGAGCGAATACTCGATATTGAGTTTTGTTTGAAACCAACTAATAATTTTGTAGCAAATAAATTTTACGATGAAAAAAACACCCCATTGCCAATTAAAAAAAATTCAAAAACCGGTTTTAATTCAATCGCAAAATCGAAAAAAAAAAAAAATTATGTAAAAGCGCTATCAAGTTGTTTTGATAAGAATTAATCAAAAAAAAAAAAAAATTAAAAAAAACTGGCGTGAATAAGGCATAGTTTTGGACGAAGATGGGTTGTGAGAAGGAAGGTGGTTAAGTAATTTTTGCCGTTTTATCACTTTTCTGACGTCACTCAACAATGTTATTAAATACTTTTTTTCATGTAGATTCACTATAATCACAATAATTCAAAACACTTTTTCTATTAGTTAATATGTATTTAAGCCTGGTATATGTTTTGCGTGTGTGTATATTATTGGAAAAAGTTTTTTTTATAAAATACAACAAATATTTTTTGGACAAATAATCTAATGTTGTAAAAGCTAGCTTACTGGAGATGGGGGAGGCGCAAAATGCGTACGAATACTATTACCATATGCTACAACACTAGTTTCTGTATCTGAGGAAGGCCTATCTTCCTCTGACAAATAGTTTGTGCACGGCGTAGGAGGTGGATCAAATATTAAAAGTCGATTGTTAACGTCTCCGTAATTTCCCTCTCTTTCGTAAGAAGAGTCCAAGTCTGATTCCTCCGTACATAACCATTGTCTTTGTAAGGAATCAACTTTAGAAACTCCTTTTCCAGAAATATGGGAGCCGTTAATTTTATTAGAAGTGTTATTGCGAATGTTGCGGTTTCTACTTCGCACTCGCTTATTGCTGTTATTATGAACTTGATGAGAATTATTTGAAATGCTATCTAAATGGTACCAATTTGCTTGTAAATGTTTGTTAATTGGGCAATACAATTCTAACTCATCTAATGAAGCTAATGTAGGTGGTGGAGCATCGTATTCTTCCCCAGTTTGACAACTACACTGATCACACGATGTGTAATCGTACGTTCTAGGAGCATCAGAAATCACTGAAAATCCCCGATCAGTCGTTGGCGATGGAGGAGGATTTAAAGGAATATGGCTATAATCGGAAACGACAGAAGAAGCACCAGTAACGGTATTTCTATCATAAAACGATTTATCTGTATTTTTTGACATAGTAGATACGTACGTCGATATGGAACTTTTTGTATAATTACTTTCACCAGTTAATGAACCAATTTCAGAACTAAGTTGATTCAACGGCCACATTGACATTTCTTGTTCTCGAGAAACAGTTTTTTTCGATTGTCGAATTCGGATGAAAAAAAACAACGCAAAAATAAGTAATATTATGCAAACAACAACACCTGATATTATTCCAGCTGCAATGCTAGTCTCTTTAGTCTGTTGAGTTAGTTGAACTTTAGTTAAATTTCCTAAAGAAAAAACACAAATAACGTATTAAATAGATAATAAATTTAAATTTACAAAAAATTCTACACACTCCTCATTTTTAGAGGTTTTAAGTTGAAGTTATTTTTACTTAAGATTTTTTTAACTCTTTCGAGCAGGTTGACATGAAATAGGAACCGTTGAAAACGAATTAAAAACCGCATCTTTTTTTATTTTTTGACCATTTTTCTTAATACTTAAAAACCTTCAAAAAATGAGGGGGTCCTAAAATTATGTGGTTGTATCTTTTGAGCGTCAAAATATATTTTGATAAAATTTAAAACCTAATTACAATTTATAATGGGATTTTTCATTTTCAGCATTTTTCAAGGGTATTCATGCACCTGTGATTTGAATGCCGTGATTTTTAGCAAAAAAATATCATTTAAATGAATATTAGAAAAAATAATAGTTGCAATTATCTTCTTGTCAAAAATCTATTAGGAATGCAACAAATTTTCCATCTCTACTGACACACACAAAACATGAATAAATCTCCAATAACAAATTCAGACAAATGAAATGCCACAAACAGTATTATCATATTATATGTTACAAAAAAGACTTGGTATTTTTTCAATCTAAATATATTCTTGAAAAATCTTTATACAATCTCGTTGAACTGTATTCAACAATCATAGCTTTTCACCGTGATGGACGTTTTTCTCAGACACAACGAACCTTTTCAGTGTCTTGTTTAAGTTTTTATGCACTGCTTCAGATATTTGTTCTGATGTAATACCAAACGGGATGTTCCTATCGAGATACTCCTTGAGATGGAACCTGATTATGTGAAACTTCCATCCAAGTGAAATCTTCATTGCGAATACATCATGGACAAATACTTTTAAGCGAAGCATGGAGTCCTCAAACTTGCTTTTCTTTTCTTTGTAGGATATATCAAGTTTCATCCCAAAACAGCATTCAGCTACTAAATCAAACAAAAGCCTTTATCATAGAAAATAACTTATAGGTATTGCTTATTTAAAATATAAAATATAAATGAAATAAGGTACTAATAATCCAATGATGATGTTGATCCATTTGAGATCAGAAGCCAAGGTAAACTTTAATTGGTTGAGTTTGGTTAGTTTAATTGGTTGGTTTAATTGGTTGGTTTTAATTGGTTGAGTTTGGTTGGTTTTAATTGGTTGAGTTGAAGGAGTTGGAAAGTGTTTTCAGATTGTGATGACTCTTTTCTAAGTTTCGAACTATACCTAAGACAATCACTTTATTGACTCCGGTGTACTTCTGGTTTCTTGGTTGAAAATCTAATACTGATGGGTCAAACACGTTCATAACAATCTTTAGAAATCCCTGCCCTCCATCAATACCAACACGTACAACAGAATTAAAAATATCTAATTTCCTGAAGGAACAAACTTCAGTTACGAGCATAGATAGGTCAGTACAATAAACAATATCTTTTTCAAAAAAGTTTTTACCGAACCTGACATTTTATCACATCGTAAAACCTATTCAAGTAGCGTGACCTGTTCGTAATTTCAACATAGGCGCTCTCTTGTATTCCAGATTGTCCAACATCTGTTCTTATCTCCTTCATTATTCCTAACACAGCGCAATTTGGAAGATCGTGGTTTATCTTCAAGTTCAGGATTGTTTCACTTTTTATATGCTTTATAGGTGATAGGTCTCTGCATACTTTAACAGGAAGAGCTTTTTCTTCTGTCGCAAGTTTTATTTTTTTACTGTCACCAAAAACAGATATTTCTTTTGCGTACAAGAAACAACTCACTAGTCAGCGATGTTTTGATTTTTGAAGTAAATACAGGGTTTATGCGAAATATAAAACATTTTTTAAGAAAATATAAAACATTTTTTAAGAAAATACAAAACATTTAAAAAAAATATATAAAACATTTTTTAAGAAAAAAAACAAATTTTAAGAAAATATAAAACATTTAAAAAATAAAATAAAACAAATTTTAAGAAAATATAAAACATTTAATTAGTTAATTAAATGTTTTATATTTTAAATATAAATCATTTAATTACTTAATTACTCTAAAAATATTTGGAGTTTATGAGGTTTATTCATAACAAAGAAGATAACTATAAAAATAAAAAAAAGAACGACAGTAGTTAGTTAGTTGGTAGTTGTAAGTACCTTAAAAGAATAATTTTTTGAGTCTATTATCAAACTTTTTATCATACTTTAAAATTTGGAATCAGACTTTTATGTTTGGAATAAAAGTTTTATATTTATAAAATATTTAGATTTAATATGGTAAATAATGTTCGTTATAGTTTTAAGTTTATATTAAGTACAATGAAAAATATAAAATTACTAAATATTAAATATTAAATAAATGCTTTTTTTATCTAGAGAAAACTTTTTAAATGCTATATACAAGTCATGTCTTACTATACTTATAAATAAAATTTATCAAGCTTTATTATTCAAATATATTATTCAAGCTTTATTTTGTTGTTTTAATCAATAAATGGAAAAAGAGTCTTACTATACTTATAAATAAAATTTATCAAGCTTTATTATTCAAATATATTATTCAAGCTTTATTTTGTTGTTTTAATCAATAAATGGAAAAAGAGTCTTACTATACTTATAAATAAAATTTATCAAGCTTTATTATTCAAATATATTATTCAAGCTTTATTTTGTTGTTTTAATCAATAAATGGAAAAAGAGAAAGAAAAAAAGAACACTTATTACAAAGGATATTGCAAGAACCATATGAAAGTCAATTCTTAAAGAAATAAAGTTAAAAGAAATTGCGGAAGAAGTTGAAATATCAGTTTCTGCAACACGTTCTATTTCTGATAAAATCAGTAAAGGACTTAGTGATGATGAAATTGCATCAGTAAGAAAAGGAAAGCACAGCTCTTATGACGAGACACTTAAATCTGAAATTTGATTGTTAATTGAGCATGATTTATCTTATACATTAGCATCATTGAGAAACATTCTTGTTGAAAGGAATATTAATGCATCATACCAACAATATCTAAATATTTGAAGACGATGGAGTTCACTAGAAAACGACTTACATTTGTACCAAAAGAAAGGAACTCGATGCAAAACGTTGATTTAAGACAAAGTTTTTGCAGGACTATTAATTCGATTCCTGACAATAACTCAGTGTTTCTAGATGAAACAGACTTTAACTTACATACTTCTAAGCAATATGGCTATTCTATAAAGAATACAAAATATTTTGTTACAGTGCCAGCAAATCGTGGAAAGAATGTAAGTTTAATGGCCGTTATAACAGTTAATAGTATTCTAAGCTTTAAGATAGTGGATGGTGCCTATAATGGCAATCTTTTTTGTGATTTTATAACCAACAATTTAAGACTGTATTTCCAAATGAATCCCCATTCTGTACTTGTATTGGATAATTGTGCATTTCATTGTCAAAGAGATGTAATCAATTTGCTCCGCCAATCCAATATATCAGTTTACTTTTTGCCACCTTATTCAACGCAATGGAAACCAATCGAGAAATACTTTAGTTGTCTTAAAGCTAATTATACTTCTATAATACCGTTTCCAAAAACTAGCAATGAAGTTAAGGCTACTTTAAATTCGCTTATACCGACAATCGGCTTTGATTTTTGTGGTTGGTATTGTAATATGAGAAGATGGGTCTAGAAAGGCATAGCAAGGCAAGAATTTTGTTAAATTGGATACTTTGTTATTTATATTATATCTTTAAATATAATGAATTATAGTTATAAAAAAATACTCTTTACTCTCTAGAAATTTATGAATAACTTTATACATCATAAACGCACTATTAAATCAACTAAAATGTTTTATATTTTCTTAAAAAATGTTTTATATTTTCTTAAAAAATGTTTTATATTTTTTTAAAAAGTGTTTTATATTTTTTTTAAAAATGTTTTATATTTTTTAAAAAAATGTTTTATATTTCTCATAAACCCTGTAAGGCGTGAAGATTTTGAACAGTTTTTTTTTGTTGTTGCAAGGATGACGAATACCAGGACCAGCAATTTGACAGCATTCTGAGCAAAATGAATTTCTTTTTTCGAATGCAATCTTTTCAGATACTACGCAGGTGAATTCAGAAAGATTAAGTGTACCACTACTTTTAGTACACTAGGCAGCAAATAGCACAATTACAGTTGCCATCTTTTTGTTTAATTCTTCCCAACTTTTAACTTAATCACAACCATTTATCCAGGAAGTCTCCACAACTTTAACGATCGCTTTACCTTTCTGTTTTAAATATAAGTTTGTCGTACAGCTTCCGCATATTCCAGACGGATAAGAACTTAGGTTCAGACTGAATCCAGGGTCTACAAAGTCTTTGATCAGATGAATCAATGAAGCAATCTTCTCCAAAGATAAACATATTTTGTATTTATTGACACAACAAAAACATATCCATCTCCTATTTTCTGAATGAGATCTTGCTTTTTGCAGACTCATTTTGTACAAAAACATTTTTATTTAGTATTTTCTGTATTAGGTTATTTAAATTTTATAAATCAATACTCTAACAAATTGTTTAATTTAAACAAATTATCAGATGATTGACGTAATTTATTGAGACTAATTTGCCTAAATTGTTGTGTTTATGCCTTTAGTTTGATATTAGATCATTTGTAATTAGCCTTTAAATAAAATTAACTTCAATTTCAGGCACAAATCATGTGGTTTGCAAATAAGAGTAGAAATACCCTTAAAAAATGCCCCCTGCATCACTCTGGTTGAGGGAAAGTAATTTTTGAAAGAAAAAAAAAAATTTATCTTGAATCCAATTATAAATTGTAATTAGGTTTCAAATTTTAACAGAATATATTTTGACGCCCAAAAGATACAGCCACATAAAATTTAGAATCCCTTCATTTTTTGAAGGTTTAAAGTATTTAGAAAAATGGTCAAAAAATGAAAAAAGATGCGGTTTTTAATTTGTTTTCAATGGTTCCTATTTTTCATGTCAACCTGCTCAAAAGAGTGGTTAAAAAAATCTGAAGTAAAAATAGCTTCAACTTAAAACCTCTAAAAATAAGCAGTGTACAGTGACACATCTTGATACATTTATACGGCGTCATTTCTAATATCAAAATTCAACCAAAGCATTTTTATTAAAACACAAACCAAGAATACTGCATAAAACCGAAAATGTCAATATTGAAACTACATTAAAAAATGACAGTATCGGTTAAGATCAAAAAAAGAGATTTGAGTGTGCCAAAATACCCTAAAATCATTGTCAACATTACACGCTTAAAATTTGTCATAATAATGAAGGCATGTTCATTAGAGTAAATATTTATTTAAATAAACATTAAGTATCAATTAAAACGTCCTTATAAGCAGTTATTGACATCAATTTGACAAGTACATCAAAACGCAGTTTTGCATTTTTTTTTGATTATCAACTTTCTTAAGCTACAATTGTTTTAAACAAGTTTTACTGAGAGTCATTTTAAATAATATTGTTTGAATTAATATTTTTTTTTAGTTCCATGCAGTTAAAAGTATTTCCATACAGTTAAATGTATGTGTAATCCTTAGGTTTTATGCATCAATAGCAGACAGTTTTTTATATACTTTTTTCTTGTTAACTTTAACTAATATGTAGTAGATAAAATATTCTCCAATATTTCCCTAACATTTCATTATGTGAACCTACTGTTCAATGTATGTAAATAATAAATATATTATCACTTTTTGCCCTTCATTACTATCAATTGACAAGAAATTCATTAAACTATCAATTGATGAAAAATAATGTGCATTTAAAAAATATGTTTTGTAAAAAAATATTACATAAAATCTTTCTATACTGTTATAATATCAAAATTGTGTAAGTATATATGTTATATTATGACAAGAACATTAAAGATGCTGTTTTTAATTTGATAACAGATTTAAGGTTGCCTTAAAAAAACTTTTTCGTAAAAACCACGAAAAGCTGAAATGTGAATCCAAATCATTTGTTTTAACTTTGATTTTTATTCTATCTTATGTAATTATTTATAGAACAAAAAATAGATCTTTATATTTTTTTTATTTGAAATACTTTCATCTATGTTTATAAAACTTTACATTGTGTGAAACAACCATGACATTTGGTATTTTTAGTATTAGAATAAATTTTTTCAAATTTGATAAAAGATTTATCAATTAAAAAATTATATTTTTTTGGTAAAATTAAAAAAAAAAAAAAAAAAACAGAAGTATAAACAGTACTGTGATAATATAAATAAAAACAACTATATTCTTATCTAATTACTGTGATGCCCTTTTATCTAATTACTGTGATGCCCAAAAAGATTTTATAAAAAACAATGATAAAAAAAAAAGAAAATAGAGTAAAAAATAACTTTAATATAAAATATCTAAATTTTACATTAATATAAAATAATTAATTTTTTGCTTACGGAAATTCAAAATACACAAGTGACAAGGAAAGCTAACCTGTTGATTATACACACATGCATAAATACATACATACATACATAAATACATACATATTTATATATATATATATATATGTGTATATATAGGTGTATGCATATATACATATATACATATATATATATATATATATATATATATATATATATATATATATATATATATATATATATATATATATATATATATATGTATATATATATATATATATATATATATATATATATATATATATATATATATATATATATATATATATATATATATATATATATACTTAAATTATATATTTACTTTTTTTGCAGTTAAACTCATCAGAGGCATCAAAGCAGTCTGTTAACCCATCACATATTTGAAAATCATTAATGCATCTTCGGTAGTCATCTTTGCAGTGGAACTGATTTTGGCCACATAAATCTACTTAAACAAAAAAATTAATCAACAAATTTTGTATTCACACTGATTTTTTAATATAAATTTTTTTACAAAAAATAAAAATAAATAAATTGTAAACTTTACCACAATTATACTCGTCTTCTCCATGAGGACAATTAACTTTACCATTGCATCTTTTACTCACATCTATGCAACCTTTACTTCCACATGCTATAAAGCCTGTATTGCATGGTTGGTAAGGGTAAGCTGATGAAGAAACAAAAACTTTATTAAAACGCAAGCAAATACATACTTTTTTCATACAATTCAATGATTTAAATGACTGAAGGTGATAATTATAAATGATGAGGGAAGCCAAATGAGTATGGTCCGAAGAAAATATATATATTTATATATATATATATATATATCCTTAACTCTTGTATCTCACACAGTTACATGTTAAAGAACAAGGAAGAACAACGTTAAATACCTTACCTTTAAAGAAACTAAAAAAAAAATCTGTTTGCTTTATATAAAAAAAAACAGATTGTTAGTTTTTCCAAGTTGTTAAACATTTATTATACGAGGTATGTCATTAAACAAATATTACAAAAATAAGGTTGTTTTTGGTAAAGTTTCTAAATTATATATTTTTCTTGATTTATATATTTTTATTATATTATTTATTTATATTTATGTGTTATTTATGTTATTTATGTTTATGTGTTAAAGTTATATGGGTTTATATTTTGTAAGTGTGTAAAAATAATTTATGTGTTTGTAAATATTTTTTCAAATTGTTGTGACTTGGCTTAGTTTACAGCAAGAGTGTTGACCTTGCTAGCTATAATCATTATAGCTAAGTTCACATTATAATAATGATTATTATAATGTGACTTGGCTTTGTTGGGAACAAGATTGTGGTCCATGCCAGTTAAGTGGTGTACTGTCATGATGAAACACATAAATTAAACCTGCTTGAAGTTACTGTAGTCATAAAAAGTGTTAAAAAATATTGTTTAAAGAATGTGTTTATTAGAAATGTTAAAAAGATATATAGTTTTTTAATATCTATAATTTTTTTAATATTTATAATTTTAGTTAAATTTTATTGAACAGATTTATACTTCATTAAATATTTATATACTGTTACTTTTTTGAGTAAGTTTGTTTAAAAGATATATACTCAGTTCTTTAATAATTTATGCTTTTTATGATAAATTTTGTTAAAAAACTGTCTTCCTTTTTACAAATAGCTCCTCCCCATTTAAACATTTAAGAGTCTTTATTTCCTTCATTAAATATATTTAACTTAATTTTAATGTTTTTTTTTTAAAGGTATGTGTACAAAGTGCCACATAAGTTTTAGTAACTTTCATTAAATTTTCAGGATTTTTTATAGAGAATGTTTTCTCCATATTAGTATTTTAATGTTTTACATATTGACCTTTTTTCTTTAGAATATTAAAAATATAAAAAAAAAATTAAAACAGTTTAAGAAGTTTCAATATCTTAGGTTTCTTCACTTAAAGCAAATAAGATTGTTTAGAAAGGTTTTTTATTATTAGTTTTGTATTTACTTATTAATTGGAAATCTCGCATTAATTGCATTTCAAAGTAATGAAAGGGGTTTTTTGACAAATATTTACATTTTACCATTTAATGTTACCAGTGCTTGCTGAGCAGACAGCCCTTATAACTTTTAAAACATTTTTAAGTTTTATTAAAAACTTTTTGTTGTTTTTTGATCAAATACTAATAATATTTTTATCAAATTTTTTGTCATTAAATATAATATTACTCAGTTATTAAGATTATATCTATTTATTTATAACTATAGTTCTTGATAGAAACATCTTTACACATTGCCATTGTATTTTAAAACATTTAATTTAAATATGACTAATACTAGAGGCTGAATATAATTAGATTATTATATTATACTTTGTTTTATTTAACATAAGTTAAGAAAGAAAATATTCAACATCATATTTACACACTCCTTTTATGCTTAGTTATGTCTAATAATTAAAGAAGTAAAACTGTAAGGCTTTGTTGAAATTAAAGAAACCTGGCAAGGCAAAATGAATTTAACCGTTACCAAAATGAAAGAGATAAGCTTATTCTAGCTGAGGCAAATTGTCCTTGAAATGAAAGAGATAAGCCTAGGTGTGCTGAAAAAAACTGCCGTCGAAATAAAAGATACCAGGATAAATGTTATAATTACTTTTTATTTTTTGCTTAGCCAAAATAGCTCATCCCTCAAAAAATTGCATTTCTGTTTTAGTTTTTATGGGCAAATTTTGCATTGTGTTGGAAATTTAAGGTCTGAAGAAGGTTTTCTACTCATGTATTGTCAGTTAAATATATATGATCCTAATGTAGCAGTGTCAATCAGAATGTAGCAACCTGGTAATGATGGCTGTATAGATGAGTTAATGCAACTCTTACAAACTTTAAATAATCAAGAAAATCCATTTGCTTCTGCATTTAAAAACATGGCAAAAGTAGATGAGAAAAACGATGATGGCACTATTAACTGGAGCATCATGTTACTCTTTATCCCAGTATTATAGTTGTAGATTTGCTGTTAGACAAACTTTTAGTGCTTAATACAAACGAATTAGTCCTACTTAATTAGTGTTTAATTTGATGCTGCTTACTCATTCGTTTAATTTGATGCTGCTTACTCATTCGTACTTATTGATGCTGCTTACTCATTCGTTACTCATTAGTGTTTAATTTGATGCTGCTTACTCATTAGTGTTTAATTTGATGCTGCTTACTCATTCGTGATGCTGCTTACTCATTCGTTATTCATTTGATGCTGCTTACTCATTCGTTTGACTCTGAGTTTTTAAAAAAGATTTGTTACGCTTGACCATATAATATATCACTTTTAATTTTTGACTACATGATAAAGTATTCTCAAATCTTTATTATCTCTATTATAATCTGTAATATCTGTTGAATCAGTTATAAGATCTTTAATTTTACATTAGATAATTTAATGCAATTATAAATTCTATGTCATAAATGTGAAAACACCTGTAATATAAAATGTGCCTCAATGTATGCTATGGGTAAGTGGTTATGTTGTTTCCATGGCTTTAAGGTGTTGTGACTTGGCATGTGAATTTACAGCAAGAGTGTAGTATTATTATCAGGCTTGGTCGGGAAACGGTAGCGATCGCTCTCAAATACTGACCACGGAAATTATATTTTGTTGCGAAAAACTGGCCAGGTTTTTTAGTCGTTTTAAGAACATTTAAGTTTATGTACGAAACAAAAAATTTTTGTTGTACGGACATACATGGAAACATTACAAACTTCAATGTTCTCAAAACATCTTTGTGCAAAAGAATAAAAAGAATATTTGCGAACATTAAAAACCCGCCAAATTAACGAAAAACTAATTCTATTGGTTCAAAAAATACGCTGACTTAGCGAAATAAAGTTCTAGAATATTCTGTTGAAATGTTTTAGAAATAATATTAATCACGATTTGTTACGTTTTGAGATTTCTAGTTTTCTTGTTTTAAAGATATATATTATTTGTTTACAAAAATAAATATTTTAAATATATATTAAATTGTCAAAATTTCAAAAGTTTATTATAAATTTTAGATTTTATTAGTATATTCTTATTTTTTATTTAAAAAGTATGTATTCTTTATGTAAATGTAATTTTGTGTATCTGTTTTTATCATAATGTATCTTTTAAAGCAATTTTTATGATTTAAACAAAGACTTACAAAAATAATTGCGTTTTCAATGAAGTTATAATCGTTATAGTTAGAAAAACTAATTATGTAACAAACATATAAGAAGTTTCTGGTTACTAAACACAAACAACGCATACAAAGTAACTCGCGGATGAACAAGCATCGCGCCTGAGGTCACGACAGAACACAAATATATATAGCAAATACTTAGATATAAAGAAAAGTTTCTATATATTGGTTTACTAACTCTAATTATTTTCACTTAAGTTGCCATTCTTAAAACTCGTTATACTTTTTTCTGCTTTAAATATTAATTAAAACTAAAAAGCCCACTCACTAAACATCATCAGCGATATTGTGAAGCAGTTTCGCTTCCTCGTCATAAAGTATTTTAAACCTTTTTAGTTGATTTCTATCTTGTTAAATTAATTTCTATAGTAATTCAATGACTTAATTATTTCATTTGTTTATCTTACTAAGAAGAATTGCTTCAAATATGTTAAACTTTTCAAACTACGCTAAACATAAAATAGGTATTAAAAAAAATTAACTTTTTTATTTATAAAATAATTTAACTAAAACTTGCAAACTTTGCTAAATAAAGAGCATTTGTTTCCTTTTTAAACAATCATAAGTTGTTACTTTATATAAAAAACATCGCTTAATTTTATAAAAAATTTTTTAAAAGAGCGATGTTTCGAAAATATTTGTTCTAAACGTAATTTATTTAGCTTAAAGTTTTTTCCCGTTTAAAGATATTTTATTTGCCTAGTTTTTTTTTTTTTTTTTGTAATTGTCTCTCATCGGTCTAATTACTCTTTTGCGCTTTTTTTCTTTTTGCTTTTTAAAATGTTCTCAAAACGACTAAAAAATCTGGCCAGCTTTTCGCAACTAAATATTATTTATGTGGTCAGCAATCGAGAGCGATCGCTCCCGCTTCCCGACCAAGCCTGTATTATTGTATTTTTTTTAATATATAGCTCTAGCTGCTTCTTCTGGCTCAACAAATGTTGTTGTAATCTTACTTGACTTAGTACATAAATTGATTGTTTTTATTAAGGTAAAAAAATCAAATAAGCTAATTTAGATGCCTACAAACGTTATTGAATTAGTTATTTAGTTGCAGAAATTGTTCTACAAAGAGCTTCCTCTAATAACTATTTTTTAATTGCGTTTTTCCTGAAATATGTAATAAGCATCTTAACTTTGTAGATATATTTCTTTAAATTCAATCAATCAATGTAATAAGTTAAGGTTAAGTGAGCACAATAAGTTAGTTTTACTTATATTTAATATCTAATAGTTATATTTTCAAACATTTGATAAAGTTGCAATTAATCTCAAAAAGCCTTGGTTTTCATACAACCAATTCTATGTAGTATGTTCTAAAACCAAGTCATTTGCATTACACATGCATAACAAGTCATTAGCAAAACACCTGCATAATATTTGCATATGCACATGTATAAACAAGGTATGTCATTGAATGAAAATTTCACAAATGTTATAATTGTAAATGTTTTTAATTTATAGTTTTTGACAAGTATTTTTATGTTTCATATCATGTGGTAATTTGTGTTTTTACTATGTGTTTTATAAGACTATATGGGTTTATATTTTGTTAGTGTTTCTATGTGTGCGCTGTTATCAGTTAAAACCTGGATAACTCAAAAACCCTCAACTTAAACTAATTTTAAAATTTCATTTGAGCCATTATTTATGGATAATACTGCCAATAGCATTCTCTAACAAGTTAATTTCTCGGTCCACATATAACAAATAACATAACAGTAAACTCTAAATTACTCAAGGTTTAAGTAATTTAGAGTTTACTATTATGTTATTTGTTTATTTTGTGATGTTATTGTTGTGCTGATTTGTGTTGATAGATTAGATGACTTGGTTTACTTTCACGTCGGGGTCTTCAATTTAAAATGATTATTAGGTAGTTTCATTACTGAAACTGACAACATATAATCATTCACTAAAAGCTAAAGATTCAGTTTTTTTAATAAAAATATATATATCTTATTGTGATCATTTGTTTTAGCATTGCTTTTTTAAAAAGAGTTGTTAATCCAAACTTGCAACAATAAATCTTGAAACTTTCACAAAAGATAAATAACCTCACAAAGTAAGTTTCTTATTTGTCATCTGTTTAGTCACATTTTTGAGTTATCAAATAAATAGAGTACATAACAAATTAATGTGTATTAAGTGTATTCAATAATAATTTTTTTTCCATTTTTAGGTCGAATTTCTTCTCCTATGACTGATTTTAAAAGTTCCTACATACAGCAGAGTTTAAGAAATGTTCTGAATGTTGAAAATTGTATTCAAAAATCTAAAACAAAGCTTGATAATTTTCATACTAAAAGATATAATAATGAAAGAATGTTTCAAATTAAATTGTTTTTATAAGTATTTTTGAAACTTTTTGATGATGAAAATAAATTTTTTTTGTAGTTTTTTTCTTAAGTTTATTTTTTTATTTTATCCCAAGAAAATTTTTTTGTAGTTTTTTTTTTTAAGTTTATCTCAAGAAAAATTTTTTGTCTGTCTCTCAAATAAATTTCTATATTTTTTACCTTCAGAATTTTTGTTTAGAATGGATATATTGGCTATTTTTACTTTGTTTTTTATATTTCTGTTTTTATATGTGAATGGAAACCATTTATACTTTTATCACTTTTTGTACGATCAAGTCGGTTTCCATTTGCATTAAGTATCAACTTGAATAAATGTTTACAAACAGTGAAAACAGCTGCATTTAAAAGACTATTAAATTATTCTGTATTAGCATTACTAGTACTTTTTTCACAAGCACTTACTTTTAGATTATGTCATTTATCTTTTAATAATAATAATAAAAAAAAGAAATTTTTTTATCAAATGGTATACTTCCACTTACAAAGGGAGTGCCCATAAATTATGCAACACTAAATTTAACTGATAAACAAAACAAAACAGAAAAAGGTTTCCCTTACTATATTTTAAAATTAAAACAGCACCTAACTTCAATAAAAATTGTTGCAAAAGAATGCCTAAAAGAATCTCCTATTTTTTAAATAAATTTAGCATTGCATAATTTATGGAATAACACAGATTTGAAATTTAAAAAAATAATAATTGACATTATATTTTGTTTTCTTTACTTTTTAACTACTTTTATTTGTTAGATTTTCTTTGAATATTTTTTTAAATATATTTATTCCTTAAATTTCCTTTAAATAAATTCTCTACTATTTTTATTTGTTGAATTTCCTTTAAACAGTTTTTGTACCATTTTTATTTTTTAAATTTCTTATAAGAAATTTTTCTATTTTTATTTCTGAAATTTCTTTTAAGTAATTTTTCTACTATTCTTATTAAATTTCCCTTTTTTTATTAATTTTTTTTCCATTTTTTGTTTACATAAATAACTTTTCCAACAATTCACAATATATTTACTTTTATATAATATATTAAACTATTATTTTTTGGTTTTGAAAATTCTTTTGCTTTAATAAAGCAAACTTTTTGTTTAAAGTCATTTTTTCATTCAATTTATTTAAAATTATTTAATTGAAAAATTATTGGAGGAGAAGGGGGGGGGGCGGGGCAGGGGAAGGAGAGCCCTCCAGTTGCTACAGGCCTGAACTCTAAAGTTAAATATAACTTCAAACACTAGAGAAAATTTTTTAAAATGTTTTTAAATCCTTGAAAATCAAAAACATAAAGAAAATTATAATATACATAATATATTACAACATTTAACAGTTCTAGTTTGTACCCGTTCTCCCAAGCTTTTTTGATTGTTTTACATTGAGACTCATTCACAATTACAATGCTTTAAATTTTATTTTAAATATTGTTGACTCATTTAGAATTACTATGTTTTAAATTTCTGATGATCTGTTTTTGAATTTATTTCAACATTCTCTTTTATAGTCAAAGTGTGTAATAAAACTTAAACCTTCAGCAATACCATAAATTTAAATACTGCATTATATTTTATAATACTTATGTGGTAGTGGTGTAGTGGTAAAATGCTTTTGAAAAAAATATATATTAAGATATTTATTTTAAAATATATACATTTTGACAATAATTTTTCTAAAAATCACTTTCTAGCAAAACTACTTTTTAAATTTTTATAACTTTTGTTTTATATTTTATAACTTTTTACAATTTATTAACTTAAAATCCATTATCATTTTCAGAATTTTTTTTTAAAAAACCATACTTAAGTTTTCTTGCTTTTAAACGGTTTCTCGTCTTTAAATTGTGTCTATTTTGTTGTTAAATGGTAACTATCTTGTTGTAACTATGGTAACTATATTGTTCTTTTAACTGCTTAAGTCTTTATAAATTAATTTTAAAAGAGTGTGACCAATCATTGCTGTCATTATGTGCAATAAAACACACACACAAAAAAACATAATAAAAATAGATATAAAAGGATAGAAAATTCTATTTTATGACTTTTAAAACAATTTATGTAACCTAGCTTCCCACCATATAAGTACAAATTAAAATTTTTTGTATTGTCAAACCCATCTAGCCATCCATAGAAAAACACACACAGATTATTTTTTAGTGAGCTGAATATGACTATGAATGTGATATAGTGTAGTGATTTTTAAAGTGAATACATGAAAAAATTTATTTTAAAATTTATATTTTACATTTATATTTACATATTAAAATTCTTTATACTTTTTGAAGATGTCAAAAATCACTTTATTTATTCATATAATTTGTACTTATAAAAATTTGATATAGTTTTAATAAAATTTTGACTTACAACACAGTTCGTCTTCACCATTTGTGCAGTCTTCTTTATAATCACACTTTTTTGAACTGTTTATGCATAAGCTATCAGATTTACAAAAAAATTCGTTGACACTGTTGCAATGTTCATGAACTAAACATAAGTTTTTTTGATAATAAAATATAGACAAAAACTTCAACTTTGATAATAAGTCTCCTTATGTCATAATGATTAAAGGGACCACCAAGTCCAAGGACATGTTGTGTTCATATTTAAGAGAATGTTAAAAAAAAAACGTCTGAGCAAATTTTTTTTAATTAAAACTAATTAATAAATGTATACCAAGAAAAACAAGTCTTGTAGTTCTAGTCGAAGCTTGTCTTCTCCATTTTCTGCATATTTGGAGTCTTTAAAATAAACGCTATTTTCCAGGCGCATTATACAAATTTGATAATTTATTCAAGTGTATTTAATTCATAGGAGTTTTAGCACATGACATCATAGATTTTTTGTTTGCTTGTTTAAAACACCAATTATTATTTTTTACATACAATTTCCAAATCATTTTCATTTTTATTATATTTTAAAGTTCTAAAATGTGTTTGTAAAAAAATTAAAAACAAAAAAGTATTTTATTTGCGCAACTTTTTTTAAATAACCGTTTAGACCACATATATTTTTATTTCTTTTGTTATAAGTTTTTCTTTCAAAACATTAGATAAAATCATTTTTAACCTAAAAAAATAATGCACTTTTATTAATTTACTTTGTAAATATTAAAAAAAAAATTACGCATTTTTTCTCTGATTTTCAAAAATGTATTTTTTGGTATTGAGGTGATCTTATTTCATTATTTATATTTCCATTATTATAACATCCAATATATATAATGGCTATGGAAGGTCCAAAAAGTTGAGGGAGGGGCTGAAACAAAAATAAAATGCAGCCAGAATCATAATTTCAATGGAAAAAACAGAAAACTTCAGAAATTGGGGGAAGGGGGGGGGAGGCTATTGCCGTTTTTTTTTTTTTTTTTTTTTTTTTTTTTTTTTTTTTAATTATCTTCGCTTCCAACAAGGTTGCAAGCAACCACTAATTAGTGTTGGAAGTTACTGGAAGAGAAAAGATGAAGATTGTAGAGCAAGATAACGATTGACAGACGACTTAAAATATTGCAAACTATATGAATCAGGAAAGCAAGATGAAGGAAGCGAATTCCAAAGAACTGATGTTCGAGGAAAAAAACTAGACGAATAAGAGTTTTTGGAGCACTTAGGAACAGTAACAGAAAAAGGATGAGACTTAATTGAATGACGAGTAACACGAGAATGAATATTAGTAGATGGCACAAGAGACGCTAGCTCTTTAGATCAGTGCCCATTATAGTATTTGTAGAAAAGAGAAAGAGAAGAAACATTATGACGATGTGACAGAGGTTGAAGGTTGGCTGCAAGAGCAGGTCCAACTATGTTTACAATGCGTTTTTGCACCTTGTCTAAAAGAGAAAGAGCATCATTAGAAGATCCACCCCAGATATGGCAACAGTATTCCATACAAGGCCTGAATTTGAGATTTATAGAGATAGAGAATAGAATCCAGAGTAAGAAAGTGACGAGCTCGATAAAGAGAAGCAACTTTAGCAGATGCTAATTTTGCAACGGATTTGATATAAGGTTTCCAAGAAAGATCAGAAGTAAGAGTTAATCCTAGAAGATGAAGGGTAGGAGACTCATCGAGTACATTACCTTTCATAAATATAGGAAGGTCTAAATTATTGTGATAACGATTGGCCAAAAAAAATTGAGTTTTATCTGAATTAAAGTTTGTTTCTTGTCGGTTCATTAACTTAGTAATCTTCTTCTTGTCGGTTCATTAACTTAGTTTTAAATTTATGTGTGTAATATTTATTAAACAGTAAAATATATTTTGGAAATAAGTGAAAAGATTTTTTATTTAGATAATTTTCATACACTTTTATGGTACTCTCCTATATAAAAAGATAACCTTGGTCACATTATAATAGATTCTAAATTATATAAAGTTTACTGTAAACTTGTCGAAAGGTATAATCGAAAGGTATAATCTACCAGCATGTGTTGTTTCAGCAATAAGATCCAGGTTTCCAGATGTCAATGGAATTTACACGAATTTTAAAGGTGATGACGAAGGTGCCTTAGGTATATCTGAAGTGGTAGATGCCTGGAAATATACTGATGGATTTGAAAGTCCCAAAATCTAAGTAATAAAACGGCTATTTTCATAGCCATAAATTCTAAAAAAACTTTATGTGCAATAGAATATATAATATATATTTTAGAAACTTAAAGATATTCTAGGACATTCGAAACTGATTGCCCAAATTTGGGAGGGCAATGTCTACTTTTATAGTCACTTTTGTTCCAATCAGCGCAATTTTTCGGAAAACATCCTGATATGACATAAGTATGAACATACGCAGTTTTTTTTCATTTTATGAGTTTCATTTCTAGTTTTGATTATTACTGTTATTGTATGAAGTTAGGGTAAAAATAAAATAAAAAAAATCTTTAAATTAAAGGGACCAAAACATAGAGTTTTAAATAGTGAAGGGGCATGCGCCCCCTTCCATAAAGCTGCAGCTATTGGATCTAAGCGTAATCTATGAAGCGATTCATGAGAACCTGATTTGTTATTGCTAGAGCAACCAATAACAGCGCAACGTGGCATTGTAATTTTTGTTTAGAAATTTACTCTTTGTTATTTTATAACCATGAATTTAAAAAGATGAAGTATTTTTGTAACTATTTATACAATTCACATTTAAAGTAAATTACACACAGCCGTTTTTTAATCAATGTAATAATTAATACATGGTAAAAATTCAAGACAGAAGGTGCACATAGTGAATGCGGTCACAGTGCACAGTTGAAAAATGCATTATATTGAGTATTTTTCAATTTATGTCGAATTTGCATTTAAATTGAAAAACAACATCGTCAATAACAAATAAAAGTTTGACTTGTATTTATTATATTTTTGGAGTCATCAACTCAATAATAACATTTTCTTGCAATCTTCAAAAATAATAATTCCAATTTTTTAAAATCAAAAATATCATACAAATTTTAGAAAACAAATTTAATTAAATATATTCTGACATGCAGCCAAATAAGTTAAAATTCAGTTAAAGTGGTAACATGACTGTCAACACAGCCTTCAAAGTGGGGGAAATTTCAAAGAGGCTTACTCCCCGATTTAAAAAAAAAAATCTTACATTTCAAGAAAAAAAAATTTTTCTTAAAAAAAAATTTTGGGAGCCGCCAACACTGGGGGCCCCTATCTCTATAAAACATGTCATTAGGGTCTCAACATTTATAAAAACTTTGAATGTTAGGTATAACGAAAAAAAAAAAAAAAATTTAATTTGGTAAAATTAATTATAAAATTAATATTAAATTTTAAAAAAAGAACATCTAAAATTACACCCCCCCTCCCCCCGATGGGCCACAGCATGTTATTTTATTGGGTGGGCAGAACAATCAAAAAAATCCAAAAATACCAAATCTAATACTAAAGCCTACTTGGTTCATGAAAAAAGGAGATTGAAAAAAATTTGGCGCCCTAGGAGTCCCTAAGTCTACCATCGCCATGGCCCATGTAGCCACGGCTCTGATAGCTACAAAAAAAACTTTTAAAATAAAATTTTTTTCAATGTGAAGATTTTAGGAAATGAAATAACTAACTGTAGTTAGTCATTTTAGTAAAATTTAATAGGAAAATTTTTAAAGAATTTCTAGAATGTTTTCAATGACACCATGTACTAAAACTCCTATGAATTAAACGCACTTGAACAAATTATCAAAATGCCTGAAAAATCGAGTTTATTTTACAGACTCCAAATACCGCAGAAAATGGAGAAAACAAGCTTCAACTAAAACAACAAGATTTGTTTTTCTCAGTATACATTTATTATTAGTTTTAACCAAAAAAAATTTGCTCAGACGATTTTTTTTAACATTTAATATGAACACAACATGTCTCGGGACTTGGTGGTCCCTTAAAACACTTAAATTAATGATTATATCACATAAAAACTTTTATAACATTTTATAAAATTTCAAAACAAATTGTTTATTATTTATTTTATATTTCCTCTTTATTAGTTGAATAAAAAATGTGAAGAAGAGCAAAAATGTTACAAGAACATTTTCAATTTGTTCAAAGACAAAATTAAATTGAAATGGATGAATATTATAAGTAACTTCCATAGTGATGTAATTCATCTCAATAAGTGTCCTAGCAATAGGACTGACCCTTAGCAACATAACCTTAGTAACCTTAGTAAATATTTATTTATCAGTTTTTTTTAAATTTGATTTTAAATAAAAAATCCTTAATTAAATTAAAAAATCCTGTTAAAGATTATTTATTTGAATATTTATTGTAAGATATTTAATTAATTCTTATTTATTTCAATATTTATTGTAAGATATTTAATTAATTCTAATTTATTTCAATATTTATTGTAAGATATTTAATTAATTCTTATTTATTTCAATATTTATTGTAAGATATTTAATTAACTCTTATTTATTTTAATATTTATTCTAAGATATTTAATCAATTCTTATTTATTGTGCATAAGCAACCAGAATGCAAAGTTATAATACTTCAAGTTGTCAAAACAAAATTGATAAGGGCATCAAAGATTATAAAAATTTATACTTGGTTTAAAAACTAATTCCTTTTTATCATTATTTATATCATTCTTCCTTCAAAAATTCATTGCTTGTGTATGCCGAAGTTTTAAATAATATAATAATATTGGGACTAGGGTGTAAGGGTTAGCAAATGGTAATCTAGCATGACTACATTCCAAACACAATTACAGTTATCATGGGAGATGATTATCTATAAAGCTTTGTGTCTAACAATACAAGACTTTACTAAACAACAGAGACCTATACATTATATTAACTACATTATACCTTGTTTTTCTGTTTATAAATAAGTAATTGGTTAGAATATATGAATCTACATATGTAACCATTTATGTATGTATGTGTTTATATTTGTTAGTATGTATAAATGTAGTATGTATGTATGTATGTAATTTTAGTATTACCTTCACAAGTGCTACCATTAACAAGAGATTGAAACAGTGGGCATGCACACAAAGGCATTGGGGAACTTTTTAAAGGTGAATGATCAATTTGATAATTGATAGTACAAATATCACTGCAACCTCCATTGTTAATTCTGCAAGGATGAGAATCTAAATTTAAAAAACTATAAAACATTCTATTGAAATGTTTAGAAAAAAAAAAGAAAAAAAAAGAATGTCAAGCCCTTACCTTTTCCTCGTGTTAAATTTACAACAACTAAACTTGATAAATGTTCGTATTTACCGTGAAAAACAGTTTGAGTTGTTATATTTTCTTTAGAAACTTTATAAATAAAACTTCTTGAACTATCAGCATAGAATAAATATTGGCCAAACACAGCAAGAGCTACAGGTGTATGAATATTTTGAACTATGTTATCAATAAAATCTTTACCAGATAGTGAAATGCTATGTATGGAGTCTGTGTCTAACCAGAAAAGGCGATGGCTTATAAAATCTATAGCTATGTCAACTATAATCGATTTTCTAACTTTTAACAAAGTTGTAGAGTGAACACCTGATATTTTAGTTGACATGATGCTACATTTTTGACTTTCTAAATCTTCATTGGTCCAAAATAAACTGCCATGTTCGGGAAAAACAGCTATTTTGCGCGGAAAATACAAATTTTCATGAAAAATTGTTCCGTTTTTTCTTGTAAATAAATTAATAAACTTTATAGCATTATTATTTTTATCGGTCCAATAAATGGAGTTACTAAATTGATCCAAGGCAAAGTCATATGGATCTGGTAAAATACTGGATTCAGAATAAGAAAGCATTATACTTTCATAACCACTTCCATTTTGATGCACCCTAGATACTGAAGTTGTACTAGAGTCTAACCAATACAAAAAATTACGAACCTCATCAAAAGCAATAGCTGAAGACTTTACCTGACTATAAATAGGTAAAACAGCTTCAGGAACTGAGTCCTGAAAAATCACACGTGCAAATGAGAACTCATAACTAAAAATTAAAAAATGTTCTGGTTGAAAACAACGGCCATCTTCAACAAGGTTATAATGAGTAGCGCAACTGCAAACTCTACTAGTAACACTTAAAGCAAAGCAAAGATGTTCACATCCACCATTGTTTCTAGAGCACAAATTTGATCCTAAGAAATTTAAAAATGCAAAAATTTGATAAATTTTATTACACAATAAGAGTTTATACTCATTACACCTATGAGTTTATACCATTATATGATCCTTTCTAGCAAGTATTTAAGCTATACCTAGTTGAAGACCATTATGAACAACTTTTATGTCATGAATAAAAGGAGTATCTTTTATCAGATCAATAACTTGACCTTTTCCCATCACAGATAACTTCTTTATTGATGTAGAGTCACCATGACTTCCAAATATAAGACTGTCTTGAAATACAAGCAATGCGTATGTGGGGGGTAAACCACTATGAACTAAAACACGTTTAAAAGATTTAAAATCATAGAACTCAATAGAAGAATCCTGCAATTTTTGATGAACCCAATAAATGTTGTTTGTCTTGTAATCAATGGAGCAGCTTGTTGGATGAATTCCTTTTATTAAAAGATGTCTAGATGAACCATCTAAATTAGCCTGCCATAATGAATATTGATCTGATCCATACAAACTTTGTTGGAACCAATACATTCGACTATTTAAAAAAAATAAAAACTTAGAAATTTTAAGAAAATTTAAAAATATTTTAACATACATGTGCATAAATATAATAATATATAAAAATATTTACACTTATGTAGAATATACCAGTTTCACAAGTGTATTTGTTTTATATCCAGGTTATTATGCTAAACTAATTCTATATTGGGCAGGGTAAAACTTTTGGTAAAACTGTAGTAAAGTTAACTTAAATAGGAGGAAAAAAACTCTGTTAAACCTCCATTTTAATTGGGAGAAAGAGTAGAAGTTTCTGATCTTTAGATAGAAATCCTCCTACCTAGATGTTTCTGAAACTTGGATAGCAATCCTCCTACCTAGAGGTATCTAAACCTTGAATATAAATCCTCCTAGCACTAGTACCAAGTTAAAAAAACTCTGTCTTAAACTGCAAAGCAGGTTAATGCTAGGAAAGGCACCCAGTTTATAAAACTACTCTAACATTTTCATTACACCATATTAAAATAAGAAAATTACATTATGGAAACCCATACATAGTGCCATGTAACTAAATAAAAAAATTTTAAAATTTATGAACATTTTTACTGGACAGAAATTGCAGTTAATAATATAGACAAGTACATTTGCTCAATATATATATATATATATATATATATATATATATATATATATATATATATATATATATATATATATATATATATATATATATATATATATATATATATGTGTATATATATATATATATATATATATATATATATATATATATATATATATATATATATATATATATATATATATATGTATACATATACATATATATAATTTGCAGACCTCAATCTTTTTGAGGTCAGCATCAGGTCAGCAAAAATTATTTGATACAAAGGTGTTACCATAAAACATAAAAACAAGGTTTGCAATTTTTTGCCGACCTCAAGCACTTTCAGGTCGGCTGTTTGGTTGGCATTAGGTTATGTAAGCTGACTGCCGACCCTAATTCCGAGGGTGGTATTTATATATATAAATATATATATATATATATATATATATATATATATATATATATATATATATATATATATATATATATATATATATATATATATATAAATAGTAAAAACACTTATTTAATTTTTATTTTCTTCTACAGCTTGTTTCTCCATCAGTAGGATCATCAGGAAGCTTCTTGATGATCCTACTGATGTAGAAACAAGCTGTAGAAGAAAATAAAAATTAGATAAATGTTTTTACTATTTATTATTGCTCTGTTCTTTAAGAGTATTGAGCACTATATATATATATACATATATATATATATATATATATATATATATATATATATATATATATATATATATATATATATATATATATATATATATATATATATATATATATATATATATATATATATATATATATAACAAGCAATTTAATCTTAAAAAATATGAAGAAAAAAGAAGCCAAGCAAAACAACAATATTCAAAAAATCAATTAATTTTTTTTATGAAAAAGTTTCTTATATTGAAATATTACCAAGATGATATTCATATATATTTTCTTAGTAATATTTTAATATAAAAATGCACTATCAACATTATTGAAGTTCTTAATTATGAATATACAATACGATTTTTAACACAACACAACAGGACTGTAAATAAGCATCAAAACACATTTATTATTATTATTATTATTATTATTATTATTATTATTATATATATATATATATATATATATATATATATATATATATATATATATATATATATATATATATATATATATATATATATATATATATATACATATACATATATATATATATATATATATATATATATATATATATATACATATATATATATATATATATATATATATATATATATATATATATATATATATATATATATATATATATATATATATATATACATATATATATACATATATATATATATATATACATATATATATATATATATATATATATATATATATATATATATATATGTATATATATATATATATATATATATATATATAATAAATGTGTTTTGATGCTTATTTACAGTCCTGTTGTGTAGTGTTAAAAATCGTATTGTATATTCATAATTGAGAACTTTGATAATTTGATAGTGCATTTTTTAAACATATTATACAATGTTGTTAACAATAATTTATACTTTTTTTCTTACAACATTGATTGCATCATTTTATTTGCTGTTTTTAAGCATTGGATTTTTTGTTACAACTGCCACAGTTATGACCGTTACAACAGAAAAAACATAAAATTGCTAGTAAAAACTTCAAGTAAAAACTATGAAACTCAGCATATAATAACATCAGTATGTGCTACACCAAATACAAACACCAAATGTTTTTTTTTTTTACCACGCTGTTTGCATTAAGTCTGACAAAGTTGTTTTGTTCAAAAGTGGTAAATAGTAACCATTACAACCTCAAGCTACGTAGAGTTATTTTACATTTTTGGAAAGTTTCAAGCCATTTCCATTTTCGGATCATTTTTAATAGCTTAAGGAGTGTCAAATATTTTGACCTCCACTCTCGCAGAATCGCCCAAATATATATATATATATATATATATATATATATATATATATATATATATATATATATATATATATATATATATATATATGTTATAGCATATTTAGATGTATATATATATATGAAAGCAAAAAAAGTGAACAAGTGCTCACCTAAATATGCTATAATAGATATATATGTAGATAGATAGGGATCTCAGGTTAAAGTGATTTGAAATATATATAGATATATAAAAAATTATTAACATAACTTTTAATTTTAAGTTTTGGAACTGCTTTTAATGTTTTTTAGTTTAAATAAAAATGAACTAACCTAACTACTGGATTAATTACAATCAGAGTAAGCTCCAATATGTCTTCTCCATAGATCAAGACTTTTCGAAATAAACCATTAAGCCTTGCCACTTCAATCCTACCATTAATCCAGTAAATATTTTGAGCCATCCAGTCAATTGCTAAACCATTAACATTTTTTAAGCCTCCAGAAACAACAGTTTTAAATCCACTACCATTTAAATATGCACTGTTAATAGTATAGTAGGGATCTGTTTCTTCTGACCAGAAGATACGACTTTCATTAGAATATATTTCCAGTAATCTTGCCGATTTAGAGTTTGGCAATGACAGTTTTGAAGCTCTGTTTGTATTTATTGACAACTTTTTAAGTCCATCAATACTACCAGAATATAAAAGAAAGCCGTTTGGAACTAAATTAAAAATAAATAATAACATTAAAACATATATTTCAAGATTGCAATTCTTAGTTTTAAACTTTCCAGCCCTTGTTTCAACAATTTATGTTTTCAAAAATTTTTTAATATTTTTCAACAACTTTCCAACTTATTTTCAACAAATTATTTTCTTTATTAATTTTCTTTATTAATTTTCTTTTTTAACAGTTATAGCGTCAGAAATCTTTTTAAAAAATTTTTTATTTTGAGTTTCATACATAAACTATAATATAACATACCAATACATGTCACAGTATCAAGAGACAACTCCATTTCTGCTGGACAAGCGCAAACGGAAGCATTTTTCATAACATTAAAAAAGCAAAGATGGCTGCATTTAGTATATTGATAGTGACATGGATTGTAACCAGTTAATAGCTGAGTATCAACAGCTTTTATGCTCATAACATCAGCCATTGAATCACCTGATATAAGCTAAAAGCAAACATAAAACATCAACTTAAAAATAGCTTTAATAGAAGTGCTTATACTTCAAATTAGGGTGTAAAGAGTAGGAAATGAAATGAGCGTGTAAAGAGTAGGAAATGAAATGAGCGTGTAAAGAGTAGGAAATGAAATGAGGGTGTAAAGAGTAGGAAATGAAATGAGGGTATAAAGAGTAGGAAATGAAATGAGGGTATAAAGAGTAGGAAATAAAATGAGGGTATATAGAGTAAGAAATAAAATTGTAAAAGATATCTATTATAGAAACACAAAAAATTCAAAACATTTTATCATTTTAAAAATTAAAGTATTCAGACAAATTTAATATGATATCAAAGTTAAAAAATAATTAAAAATGTATATGAAAAGTTTTTTTTTTTTTTTAAATAATATTAGTTCTAATTAAAGAGTGTTTACTTAGATTTTTTTGTCTTTTATTACATTTTATTTTATTTTTTATTTTTTTAATTTTTTGTAGTAGTATAAATTAAATTATAAAGCAACTTTAAAATTTATTTACTTTGAAACTAAATTTTCATAACATATAAACAAAAGTTGAGACCAAAGCATACCGTTCTAAGTTCTTTTGTAGCAATGTTAAAACGAGTTACTTTACGTAGAAAATCAGTCAAATATAAATAATTATCCAAAGCAGATATTGCAAATAGTTGTTGAACTTCAGCTGAAAGTTTAAAACGCTGCTTTTTTATTGTATCATACATTCCGATTTCTGTTACTCCATCATCAGTCCAGTAAAGAATGTTCTTATAAAAAACAATACCATTTACAAATAGCAAATTTTCCCAAACTATATCAATTCGGTTGCCACCATCTAAATCAGCACACTCAATTCTAGTGTAATTTCCCCTAACACTCCAGTAGATGTGACTACATATTTTAAAGTTAAAAATTAATTAATATTTTGAAAAATAATTACTATCTATGCATATATACATACATATATATATATATATATATATATATATATATATATATATATATATATATATATATATACATACATACTCTAGCGCTATTAGACACTTTTTCTACTTTTCTACTACCTAAAACAGCAATTTCATATATTTTGAGTGTGTCTAATAGCGCTTCCATTATTATTACTATTATATATATATATATATATATATATATATATATATATATATATATATATATATATATATATATATATATATATATATATATATATATATATATATATATATATATATATATATATACATACATATATATATATATATATATAAATATATATATATATACTTATATTATAGCAGCACTCCCTTGCGAGTCAGACTAATTGTCAGTTGATGTAGCAGTACTCTGTTGCGATTCAGGCTATAAGATAGTCGATGTAGCAACACTCCGCGCATGTTTTAAAAATATATTTTAATAAAACAACAACAACAACATAAAAACCTTTAATTTAAAAAACTTCCTAGTCATTATTATTGCGATTTTTTCAAAAAACAATAAAATTTAATGTACTTCCGCATTAATTTAATTGCTTTGACATTTCGAAGACAATAAAATGCAAAGCCTGCCAACTCGACTAAAAATCCATATATTTATGTGTAATTGGCCGTCCATTGAATTATGGGATATCTTGAAGAGCTCTCAAGTGTTTAGGGTTTTTATTATTAAAACAACAAATTTCACATCCAACTACAGGAGCAAAAGTTTATATAATATTTGATTCACCACATCTTATAAAAATGTTAGAAACAATTTAATAAAACATGATATTTAATCTGATGGTAAAATAATATCGTGGAAGCATCTGGAGGAACTAATTTAGACAAGGTTAATGCTGTGCGACTTGTGCCAAAGTTGACAGATCGTCATTTAGATCCAGGATTACTATTAGCCATGCTAGTAAAATTGGCAACGCAAATTTTTAGTAGTCAAGTTGCTACTGCTTTGACTGAATACGCTTCTGCAAAACTATTGCCTGAAAATGTTTTGTCAACAGCCTTTTTTATTATAAATATGGATATTTTATTTGACATCTTAAATTCTCGTAAACTAAAAGCAGATAAATCAACACGCTCTGCTTTAACTCTAAATAGTAGTTTTATACAAAAGGTTAAAAATTTAAAACTTTGGATTAAGGTTTGGCATTTTACTGGTGCTCGCAGCTAAAAAAGTATATCCAGTCATTGGGGTTTAGATGTCACTATTTTTAATAATCTTTGTCTTGCAAACAAGTTGCTTCATGAGGATTTTTTTTATGTTTGCACAGTTCAATTTAATCACGACTGTTTATAATTTTTTTTTTTGCATTAGTACGAAGCAAAGGAGGCTGGAATGACAGACCAACAGCAATGCAGTTTAAATCAGCAATATTTAAATCAAAATTATTTAAAAACAAACAAAAACCTTACACATTACAAAATGTTTCAACTGATTCAGTTTCACAGTCAATTAAACATGTTTTGAAATTAATTGCAGATAATTTGATAAAGAAAGTTCAAGTCTGTCAAAAATGTGTACAAGTTCTTTCAAGTGTGACACCCTGTGAATTTAATTCTTAACTTATTTAATTCTGATTCTTTTTTACTAAACCTACTTCACGAAATGGAAACTGTTTTTATAATGCAAATGAAACTTATATTAACTAAAAAAAATATTGTACAACAAATTAATAAAATAATAAAAAACGATTGCAATTTTTTATTTCTTTATGATGAATATTTTGATCATGCTTTTCATTTAGAAGAAAGTTTAATCAGACACTATGTTTGTATGAGAATATCAAGACATGTAAAAACAAGTTAGCTCGCATTATCCATGCTTGATTTTATTTTAATGATAATTTTTGAAACAAGATATTTATTGCTGTTGTTTTTTCTCTCAGTATTATCAACTATGTATTTAGCATCTAGTTAAGGGGTATATATTTAAACTAATATGGGGTATATATTTAAACTAATATGAAACAAATACAGTGATAATATGATTAAAATAATTTATGCAAAACATGTTAAATTTACATCAAATTTCACACCTGCGTCAACATATTAATGATAGATTATATATAAATGTTATATTAGCAAAATTATGAAATAGTTTTAAAATTATTTTAATTTATAAAAGAAAAGTTTTTTTATGGGAAGCCCTCTGGTAAGAATAATGCAAATAAATATTTCACTAAGAGTTGCGTTGTTTGTGATTACTTGCTCCCGCAAGACATCCCACAATGCTTTGCGGCTAAAATTACATATATTTATCGGGAGTTGGCAGGCATTGATAAAATGTAGCTTAACTGTCGAGGTAGCAAAATTGTAATCGAAAAAGCATTTTTTTTACATTAAAAGTCTCTTTCGACTACGATATAAGGATATATATATATACACCAACCCTCAGATTTAGGAAAAATGAGTAGGAAATATATATATATATATATATATATATATATATATATATATATATATGCAGATATAAAAGCACACTTCTTGCAAGCTAATGTCACACTGATTTAGGAAGTTGTGAAGGCTTCAGTTTATACATTGACTGATATTGGGATATATTTATATCTATATCTACTATAGTGTATATTGATAAGAAATTGTTACTAGTTTTTCATATCTGTATAGCATATGGCACTTTAAGAAAAAGAATTAAAAAAGCAAAGAATGATGAAAGAAAAGATTGCTTCCCCGTGCCTAACCCTCAGTCAATGAAGGGACACTCTTTTGCAGCAGCAGGCTATAAGATAGTTGATGTATGTACTGAAGCCCTTGCCAGCAGGCTATTTTAGTGTGAAATCAGAGATGTTATATAAACACGCATTCATAGTTTTATATATATATACAAATAGTATTGCGTACTAAGGTAAGCAATCTGACATCATACTGAAATAGCCTGCTGCTGGGGGCTTCAGTACATACATGGACTGATAAATAGCCTGACTCGCAGTGGAGTGCTGCTACATTGACTGAGGGTTCGGGATTGGGCAGCAACCATTCCATTCATCATTCTTCGTTTTTTTTCTTCTTTTTCTAAAAAAGCTGTATGGGTTAAGGTAAGCAAAAAAAGTGAGCAAATGCTTATAAAAATACGCTTTAGTAAGTGTATATATATATATACATGTATGTATATATATATAAGAAAATTGTTGCTACATTACTGGGGATTTGGATTGGAGCACAGATAAGTTTTTTAGAATATTCTTTATTTTTCTTATTTTTGAAAAAAAAGCTGTATGGATTTAGGTCAGCAAAAAAAGTCAGTTAATGTATATCTATATGCGCTACAACTTATAAACTTGCTACTGATAACATGTAATTTAGTACAGCCTCATGCCCTATTACCTTGTAGAAATTGCATTATTAGGTAAAGTCTATGAAAAATTAACTTTGACTTAATATACCCCTTGTCTTTGGGCTCTTGATTCAGTAAAGGCTAGAAATGGTGTCTTGATACTACATTGGCAAGCAAAAAAGGTGAACTGTATAAAAACAGTATAAAAGTAAACTTTTTTATTTAATGCATAGGGAATGACATATACTTATATATTTATCTTAAGTCATTTCTTTTTATGAATTTTATTTTTAATTTTAAAGTCACATAAAAAACCCCTTGTTACAAATTTGGTTTACTTAAGAAGAATGAAGCAATTGCATAGCTTATTGCTTAGGGTGTAATATTACTATTTATGAGACAAGTTCTCTATAAATTTAAAACATGATTTAAGTGCCTAAAATTATTAAAAAAAAAAAATCATTACCATCAAATTACAAATACTCACAGTCTTTAAAGTAACTTGCAAAATTCAATAGATCTACTTGCCCTTTGTGAGGCATTTAGCTAAGTTTTATCTTTGAAAATTAGCATTGGTATATATTATCTTTCGATTTGAAAAGATTCTTAGTGTTAAACACTTAGCCTGGGAACATACGAACATATCAACTCATATATTTAGCCTGGGAACATACAAACATATTATTTACACTTTAGCCTGGGAACATAAAAATATATCAACTCATCTATTTAGCCTGGGAACATACGAACATATCATTTACACTTAGCCTGGGAACATACGAACAAATCATTTATACTTAGCCTGGGAACATACAAGCATATCAACTCATCTATTTGTCATGAAAGTTTGATCCGTTTGACTATTCTTTTGTTTAAGTCAGTGGTACAAGAGCTAGCTCTTAAGCTCAAAAATTTTATCTTACTCAGATAGTTAACTTAATGACTTTTCTTTCCATAAAACCTTAATTATTAACCTTCACTCATTTAAATTCTATTGTTTATTTAATCTTATGCTGGCTTCTCCTTGTTCTTCTTTAAGTGGTTCTAATCATGCTATAATCTTTTCACAAAAACATTTATCTCATACTTTTTTCATAGCAAATTCTACCATTACACTTCTTAATGCTATTTAAAGACTGACTTCTATTCTAACTAGTACATTAAGACTGACTCAGATTCTATTCTTTATTTTCTTTGTGATGGTCTTTGAGCTAATGTTCTTTTAAAGTCCATTATTCTCAGATAAATCTTGTATTCTATATCATAAGTTAGATACTAGAGGCTGTCAGAAATTCCTTAGTAATATCATTAACAAAGTGTGGCAAAAATGTCTGTACCACAAAATGAAATGTTAGTAAGTCTAACATTTTAGGTTATGGTCCAGACATTTTTGCCACAGTCAAGACACTAATTAACTCATTTGTGTCTAGTCAAAGTCAAGACACAAATTAACTCTTATAACACAATTTATATATATATTTTTTATCATTACTTTTATAATAATTAATTAATGTTTAATTTAAAACATTTAAATCTTTTTTCATATTTTATTTTACATTTTTCATATTTAATTTCACATTTTCATATTTCATCTTTTAATGTAA